CATCGGCACTCCCAATTATATATATATATATATATAATTTAATTTATAATTTGCTAATTGAAAGAAATGAAAGTTCCGGAAGTAGCGTAAGATAATAGCAGAACGGAACAGAAATAACAGCTCAAAAAACAAAATTATCCAAAAAATTTATTATTGTTAAGTGTATACTCATTTGTCGTTTATTGTTTACTAATATTGTTTATAATTAATTCAATATTGTTAATATTTATTTTAAATATTACAAAATACTAAACATTCAAGGAAAACCGAGAAATTTGTAATAATAAATTACAGTTCATGTTTACTAATTTCTCTAATTTTATATATTTGTAACTTTAATTGTTTTAATTAATTTTGATTATAAATGACACAATTACTATATCTGTCTTTTGCACAATTACTATATTTGTCAATTAAAAATTTATTTTTATTTATAAATTTTTTATTTATAAAAAAATTTATTTTTAGCATTTATAATTTATTAAAATTTTTCGACAATTCTTTTATAATTTTTAATTTATAACTTTCAAATTTAAATCGAATAAAATTTTTCAAAAAATTTTTCAAGTTCACAAAAAATAAGTAAATGACTGAAACTGCATAATTTTTGAAAAAAAAATATAATTTTCATGAAAATTACTGCTTTGAACAAATCAAAGTGGCATGGCGGAAATTTGATTATTTTCGAAGTTATTTTGATTTCATCGTATAGCGACGTATTTTATAAAAATCTTGGTATTCAAAATACTTCGTCGTCGAAGTATCATTTCGTTTTGAATTTGGCTTTTGGTTTTAGTTTAGTTTGACCTAATAATAAATCTCCAGAAAATTTACTCGCAGCTCGCCATGGAGTTTAAATTGAGCAATCGAGCATGGAATTTCGCAGGCCTTAAGCTCGGAGCCCTTTGTATAGTCTGAACAATTGCGAAAGATAAACAACCCCATCCACTCTAACCGATAACCGAAAATATCTTAGCAAACTTCTGATGTTACGACACATGACTTACATAGCCAATGGCTATTATAGTTACTTTTTTAAATAAGGTTTAAAGTTTAAGAATGATATCGAATGCAGTTTTATCAATAGACATTAGTTTTTTTTTAGGTAATAAATATATTTCACAAATATTTTATGAATAATATTATATATTATAATTCTTTTTTTTAAGTGTTCTCAACCATTACTGGTTAAACTCGCTCCACTGGCTTGTCGCATTAAACAATATGCCAGGGAGTTCCTTGACGATATAAATACAGGTGGGTTGCTAGCATCACCCGGATTTTTGTACAGGTTTACTCCTGTAGGGCATCGAACGGGCATCGAACTTCAGCATCGGCGCTCCCAATTGAGCAATGAGCCACTGAACCATTTTACCCCCATATTACAGTATTATATAATTATGTTACATATTATAATGTTTACATAATATTTCTTTTGATTTATGCTATTTCCATAAATTTCACTGTTCAGTTAAGACAGCGAATTAGCAAGAATCGCGAAGAATCGCGAAGAATATAACGAGCTTGCGAAAATCGCGAATTTGCGAAATTCATTTGAGCGGAACTCGGAAGTTCGAGTAATCTATAAATTCAATAATTGGCTATATGACGAACAATTGAATAAGCGATTAAATATGGCGAATTCGATTAATACTAGTTAATTTTAAAGATAATAAAAATGAAATACGATTGCCAACTTGCCATTTGAATTCATAATCTCTTTAAAATATCCTTCTAAATCCGTAATATCCAGAAAAATTCATTTTTCTCTATTTTTCTCTATTTAATCAATAATTTGATTTAGTGATAAATAACTTGGCAAATAGCAAAAAAATTCATTAACTAATTTTTCATTTTTTATTATTATTAATTAATTTTATTAATGGAAATATTTATTTTGAAAAATAATAAAATAATAAATAATATTATAAAATTGTTTTCAACTTTATTTTTTAAAATTCAATATCTTTTTTCATATTCAAAATTAATTTTCTCTTCTTTTTCTACAAATAAAATGACATTTGATGAGTGTAAATTGTTTAAATAAATGAAAATTATTTTTAATGATAAACGAGTCTCTAATTTATCTATTTCTGTTCGGTTTTTTAAAGTATTTCAATAAAATAAATGAAGTAAGTGTTAGTACTCGTGTTTCATGATTAGAATTGCACAGCTGGCTGGCCTTTAGTACTGTTAAAAATTTTTTTATTGGAAGTAGCACTTGCTGATTGAAATATAAGTGGGGTACCATCCGCATTTTACGTCAACTTCTGTGAAGCGTAGGAATTCACCTCCCGATACGATAATCCGGATCTTACTCACTCAATTATTTTTCTATGTTTACAGAAGAGCATTTACGAAAACGATATTTAGTGCGGCTATTTTATTTTATCTAGCAGCACGTACCACTTCTGCTTCGGCTAGTTCCACAGGATTAATGGACAGAGATCATATAATTTTGAACTGGTAAGGTGAGTTAATTCTGAAAAACAACTGGTCATTTTTATTTCTAACAGCGCTCAACATTTCACGGTTGGTTCGCTCATCTGACTTGTCCATCTAAACAAATTTTGCTAAAAAAGCCTACTTTTAATAGAAGTCGCTGACTAATATCACCTGGATTTTTTAAACTGCTTTGTAGTTACCGGAAGTGGAACCACAGCATCAATGTAAAACATTCCATTTCCTACAGGTGAATTTTTCTAATAAATTACATGTTCGCAACAGAAATAAAGTTTTTTGTGCTTAGATTAAAAATTTAAATTTATGTATCAAAAATTAAACTTTTTCTTCAAGGCGTGTCACAAAAAAATTTAGGTAACTAAAGGCAGCAATTTGTTCTATTTTGTGATTATGGAGCCTGGATACGATTAGCTAGTCGATGATTTTCTGAATTATGGGCTTATGCTTATGCTGTTGTGAATCTGAAGAAAGAAGTCCTTTAACTAATGGACGGAAATCGTAAGTTCATTGCGAATATTATGAGATAAAATACGAATTATCTTTTTTTTATTAATTATTTATCATTTTTATCTCATGAGGGAAAAGTTGAAATACTTCTGGTTAGTCTTACCCTGCTCGGACCAGTTTTGCCAGTTTATCCACAGTAAATAGAAACATTGCTAAATCACATCTGGATTTTTTAAAATCATTTTTTGCTAGAATTTGAACGCCAGCACCAATACTCCGGAATGAAAACAACAAACAACAACCCAACCTAGTGAACTATCTATACCATTACAGATGCTCATACAAATTATCATACATATTTCATTACATCTTCTTACCATTACTGATTAGACTGGTTCCACTGGCTATAATGGTAAAATGATTTAAAGCTGTTCGATCCCATACCATCATCGACTCTGATAGAAATCATTTCTTTTTCCATCGTCTAACTCCATATATCACTGGTCCATATAAACATTTTCTGACTATATCAGTCCAGATCTTGATTATTCTACCTCGCTTTTGACACCCACCCATAACAGGGTTTAGTAATGAGGGAGGAAATATTTGTCTATTTCTGTCATGGGCAAAAAAGAACATGGCCTAACCAGTGAAGGCGACACTCTATGATCATAGTATTAATGCAGATTTCAGTGGAAATGTATGCAGTCATGATAGATTTTATCAGTTCTGCACGATGTAAAATGTATTTTTGGTATAATAGACATAAAGCATAAGTGGTCAAAGAAAGGTAGATTCATCCCTCAGCCATATAGCAAGGTCGAGTGAATTGCAACTCTATAGCCGCGGGCTTTTGTTTTAATAGTGATTTGGCGACGACTCCATAATATTTTCGCCAACCGAAAGAACGCGTTTCTAACTACCGTTATCCGGGTTGTAATATCATCCTTTGCCTGGCCATTCGTTAATAGAGTAGACCCAAGATTTAAAATTAAATTAAAATTTGGCACTTCCTCAATCGATAATGAATTTATAAAAAAAGCATTTTATCAACAACTTGCATAAAAGACGAAACGGCTTTCATTTTATTTGTATTCACCCTAAGACCGATTCTCGCTGGAGTTGCAGACACGTTGTTTAGTATTATTTCATTTCCTCATAACTATCAGCAAAAAGGATTGCATCATCAAGCATTCAGATCTGTGATACGATGCTTTAAACTGATTTCTGTATCTTTGAGTGCTGGCAAGCGATTTCCATTATCCAGTTTATCGCATAACTGAATATTATAGGAGAAACGGCGCAATCTTGAGGATACCAGTTTTTATTTCAAAGGGATCTGACACTTACAGAACCCTTCCAATTTTGACTGACTAAGATATAATCAATCTGGTTAGAGTGTCGAAGGGGTCCACGCGACTAATCTTTTCCGAAGCCGGAAATATGTATTAGTAAAAAGTTTATGCCCTATGTCATATTTGCCAATTATCAGTTCATCGTGGTGGCATCGTGGTGATCAATGCCTTCTTAGTAGAGAGTTGACGTTTCGCATAGAATTTACCCTTTTCATGATCATCTGCAGAAAGTTGGAACATTGATTACAGATATATTGCTGAACTTTCTTTTGAAGTGAGTATCGGTCATATGGTCGTTTATCGGCTTCCGCTCAACAAAGTGGACCGAGGTTTTTCAGACATGGCAATCGCCGTTTCACCTCTAGTCATTACCACTCCAAGACATCACAGAAATATAGCCAATATCTCTGCTTGGAGCCTGGCTTAGTAAATCCTCGAGACCCAAAGTGAGGAAGACAAAGAGGCGACACACTGTATTTAGAAAGAGTGTGGACATGGACTTAGTTTGCAATGTCCATAAATGTTGTAACGTGTTGTAACGTTCCAAACAGCTATGGTCAATATCTTGCCGCTTTTACAAGTACCAATGGACAGTTTCTCTTGACAGACTTTGAGTAATTAGCTTAGCTCTCGAACACATACTAGTTGAAGCCTTTGGGTCATTGTACTAAATCGTGCCCGAATCGTGACCTCGCATGTATTATCAAAAAGACCTTTCAAGTCATTTGATGATAGAGCTACGGATGGGTCTCCAACAGCCACTCAGATTTTTGTTATTATCATTTGACAGGTTTACTCCCGTCAAAAACAAGGATGAATAAATAATTCCTTAAATCATTGAATTAAATCTTATTGTTGAATAGTTACTAGTATTTTATTTGAATATGGCATTCGGAAATATGATATTTTTTCATTAAAATAGCTTATTTTATTTATATTACGTAAGTAAATAAAATAAGCTTTTATGGAATTTATGATGGAATTTGGATTGTGGTACTTTGGTACTTCAATTTTTTTCATAAATAATAGAAAATATACTTGGATATAAATATGAAATCAAATGTAAGAGGTAGAATGGTTCAGTCGGTTATTGTTCTCATTTTAGGAACCCCCAATGTTGCGGTTCTACTTTCTTCCGGCAGGAGTAAACCTGTTTTTCATAAAATCATAGCGACTCATATTTATTTTGTTTATATTGCTTAGTGATTCTCTAACAAAATTTGTTTGGTCCAATAAGCCAGCGGAGCGAATCGAACCAGAAATGGTGAGTGTTTCTGGAAAAAAAGAATCAGGAAGGAAGGCTCTGGGAAAAAGCAAAAAATTGGGAGAACTTGTTGTAATTAAGATGCTATGGTGTTGGCATGGGTGTAGCAATGATGATGCAACAAGCAACTTCATTGACTGGCTCATCGGTTGTACTTGATGCGCAAGCCTTGGAAAATCACATACGTCGAGCCAAAGCCGAAGGCCGTACAGTTACAATTGTGAATGGCAATCTTTATATCGATTATAATTTTTTTGCACAAATTCCACCGTATTTTGATATGAAAGTTTGCTGAAAATTTTCTATAATTTTATTGCTTTTGCTTTTATTTCTATTTCTTTTACGTATTTTTTATTTTCATAATTTTTTATAATAAATAATTTATTAATGATGGGATTAAAAATTAATTGATACTTGGCCGCTAATTTGCATATTTGCATATAATCATCTATGGTCGGAACTGTTAATTTAATTTAAAATTGGCCAATTGGTTAAATTTTTCAGATTATTTCATTTCCACTACTCCCTCCTAGCATTGCGTTTCCTAGTTTCTACTAAATGATTATGGGATGGAAAATCTAAAATCTAAAGATTTTAAATTCTGAAACTCTGAATCAATTTCTTTTACCAAGTCCATCCAGTGAGGAGGACTATTCTGTTTCTACAAAATGGCGATTTTGTGATAATATCATTTAAGTGTAAAAAGCGGAGGTAAAATTATAGTAGCTCAAATATCTGCGACTGAAAGTGTGCTCTTGCACCTGGTGAAGCCTCTGAGCATCGAAAGCAGCATCAATGAAAGTTCTTCCACATAACAGCAAAATCCTATTATACGTGTGCAAAATATAACCAGTGAGAGTAGAAGATATCAGGAGGCCTCTGATCATGTGCGTAAGGTATTACATGTATTAAATATTTTCTCACAGTGCGCATAAAATCTCACATGATTGCATCAATCGTTCTAATATTATATGCACGTCATTCACCTTACGCATTCACCAAACCTTACAGCTATATGAGATTTAGAATTTATAGGCATTCTAGGCCTTGGCTCCACAGTCTTGGAAACCAGCTACATTGGCAATGACCTAAGAAAGAGCAAAATCAATGTGGTATATTAGATCGCTTTTTATCGGCGAGCTTGTTGCATTCGAAATTTAAATAGGAAATTCAATATTCGTGAATAAATGCACACTGCCATCACTTAAGAGTCGTACATTCGAAGGCGAATCATTTTTTCAAATTTTATTTTCGCATTTCTACAAACTGTTAATGCATATCTTGCAAGGATGCTTCAGTGACATGCATGCTTACTTCGATCTGCGTTAATTGTCAAAGATTAGACAGGATTAAGCCAGCCTTTTCCCGGACATGTTGGCGGTCTACCTGACCCACCTCTTATCGCCCTCATTTTCTAAAATTTTTTACAATATCAACAGAAAACAAGTCTGATACATAGAACTAATCAGAAACCTGGATATTATATGGCTTGCGGCTCTTGCTGCCAGTTTCTGGCCAATTCCAAGTTAATAAGCCATACGAATAATGGTTCTACGGCCTGAAAAGTACTAGGAAAAGTGTATTTTTTTCCTAGTTTTATTCCATAAAATAAAAATTCATTACAAACACCAATATTCCTCACTTTTCTCACAATTTCCTACTTTATAAAATAATGAAAATGGAAAGCAAAAATGAAAATTAATTAAAAAATGAAAATCATTTTTCATAACATAAGGTCTCTCCAAATTGAAAAACTTAACAGATTATTTATCAATATTTTATAAATAAATATTTTATTTATTTATAAATATTTTATTTATTTGTTAATAAATATTCCTTAATTGTTATAAATATTTATTAAAATACAATACTCTTCTTCTTCTTGTTCTTAAGAGCCCTCACCATTACTGGTTAAACTCGCTCCACTGGCTTGTCGCATTGAGCAATATGCCAGGGAGTTCCTTGGCGATAGAAATATAGGTGAGTCGCCAGCATCACCCGGATTTTTTTACAGGTTTGTTCCTGTGGGGAATCGAACAGCAGCTTCGGCTGCTCCAAATTGAGCAACAACCCACTGAGCTATCCTATCCCATATCTTAAAATACAACATCAAATATGCAAAAAAAGAAAATGCTAAAAACAGTTTTGAAAATGGAATAATAAGGCAGAGAATAATAAACATTATTAATTTCAAGTACATATATATATATATGTTTCTATATATTTTATACTTTCTATTTACTTTCATATTTTTTATATTTTATGTTTATTTTTAAAAACTAAAAACTCATTTATTTTTAATTTTATATTATAAATTTCAAATTTTTAATAACTAAAAGGAAAATAATATAAAAAATATATGCCAATATAATATAATATAATATAATATAAAATTTAATATAAAAAACCAATCGAAAATAAAAAACAATAAATATAGAAATAAATATAATAATTAATTCAATTCTTTGAATTTTAAACGGCCTCGAAGCAATTTATTTTCAATAAATGAACGCGCCGGTATCGTCAGTTCCTCGCCATCATCGGCTATAATTACTATATCACCCTGAAAATCAACCGGGGAATCAACCGCCTTATTCAAAGAAAAAATCTTAATGTTCAGAGATAGCCGAGGAGTTGTTTCCAGATTATCGTCTCAATAATTTCGATATTCGCAATGGGAATATAAAATAATTCCATGAATGGTTAGATGGACAGACAGAGGAAATCCCAGCATTGGCGCTTCTTTTCCCTTTCGCAGTTCAGCGGTATTGCCGCCCAACTGGAAATGAAAGATAGGAATTCAAAGAAAGATTTCATTTTAAAAATAAGTTTAACTTTGAGGAACTGAGATTTTTTATGGAAAAAATTAACTTCATTGCTATATTTCACTTACTTTGAGAGTTATATCGCTACCAAAGTAGACATTTCCGTCGACAACCATATGAGTAAGATCAACTAGAGATGGAATCGAACTGAAACGACAATGAAATTCAGCCAACATATTGAAATGGCTCGAAAGTTTGATGGTCGGTTGATGGGGTATAGGTCTATTGGATCGTAAACGTAGCGAAAAATCATCTGCGATTTCATATAAGTCACTCATTATGGCAAGTAAATCTTGTGTTTTCTTCACGGGTAAAAATCGTCTTCGTGGTACTTTAATGGCTAAAAAAAAACTCCTTTTCATATATTAATTTAATCTTACAATATATTAAATGTGATCTAATATATTCACCATTCTTAACAGTATATACAGTCAATAGCTAAATCAGTAATCGCTAAATTTTTTTCCAAGGACTTCTTAAAAGATCGCATAAAAATCCATGGACTCCTGGTGCTATGTTCCAACTAATTCTTTAAATCCCAAAATAAGATGTGTAAAAAATGTCAAATCTTAGAATCCAATTGCAAAGAATTATGCGATGCCTTCATTTTTTTTTCTCATTTTCTTTCAGATTATCTAATTCATTTTAGATAAAAAATCAGATCGTTAGCCTCTGAGAGTTATAGATCCCAGGAAGTGCGCAGGGGTTTGTTGAATTTAATGAATGCTGCCGTAAAACGTTATGGGAACTTGATGTCAGATAATAAGTATCTAATTTGCGAATAAGACTTTAATAGGCTTAGCAGACTAATGACGAGAACATTGATCACCTAAAAATTTTAATTTTTAAAGAAATGCATAGAAACCTACTTACAGTAAGCACGATCGAAATTTCTAATAGCACCTCCAACAGAAGTCTCTAGCTGAATAATATTTTCTCCAGAAGAAAGTTTCTAAAAATATACTGAAAATGCAATTTTAAATACAATGTTAAATACAAAATATAACATATATAAATACAAAAATTATAATCTAATATATAAATTCATTTTCATTATCACAAAATCTGGAATCTTGAAAATAAAATGGAAAAAAGAATGCACATTATTTTTGGGTGGGTTTATGTCGCTGGCTTGTTGGATCAGATAAACTTTAGCCAAGGAATCACCACTTGGCTAGAGAAATACAAACGAATCGTCAGCATCAACCGTTATAATATATTTACCTTCTTATTAACAATAATTTCCATTTTCATTGTTGGCAAACATTTCTTCACGCTACTCAAATTCACCCAAATATTATTTGTATTGAATATCCTTAAAATCATTTATATACGAATATTCATAGCAAAATCATTTTAGAAAAATTCATCTAAAATTTGGCCATTAAGTAATTTGAATAACAGTAGTGGGGTCAAAAATATATAATAGACTGATAAGGTTAGAAAGAAAGATTAACGCATAGATAGACCAGCCATAAATGGACTTAGACGATGAAAAAAGGAAAGGAACTTTTATTACTGTCAGAGTTGAACTCGGGTCGAATAGCCTGAAAACTTTTCTTATCTTACTTTTCTAACCAGTTTAGCCAGCTTAACCAATAATGGGAGACTAGTAATGTCAGAAGATATGGTTAGAAAAGATTTTGAATACGTAGGCAGTTCTTTTTTTTCCTCTAACCATTACTGGTAAGGCTATTCCATTGGCTACAAGGGTAAGACGTTTTCGAGCTACGCGATCGAATACCATCGTTGACAGTATTAAAAGTCATTTTTTTTCCGTGGTCTAAGTCCATATATTGCTGTTCCACCTATATGTAGGCAGCTCAAGAAAGGAAAAGAGGGTTTCAGGGCAGATTTCGATAATCTAGAGGCGAAATCTAATAGCCAAGCGCAGTTAGCCAAAAAAAACCAATGAAACAAATTCCTCATTCATTTGAAGTAAGTCTGAAATTCCAAAGGGTAAAACTTTTGCAAATTTTCTACAAATAAATTACTTACTTAAACGTTCGCAATGAACAAAATTCTTCAATATTTTCTTTTGGTACTTGAGGAATTTCTAAATGCATTATTCCATGATTTATTTCGACAAGAGTTCCACCCTTAATAGAAAAGCAAAAAATAAAATTTTTCAGTTAATTTTAAGCATTTTAAACGATAAATGTAAAATAGATAATTAAAAAGGCAACAAGGCTTATCATTTTTTTATTTAAAGGTAAATAATTATTATTTTGCAAATAATGTTAGTATTAAAGGCGCCTTCAAGCCGCTTGATCAGGTACCATAGATATTTAAAAATGCCAGTTCTTTTTCCACCGTCTAACCCCATATATCGATGGGCCGCTCAAATCCCGAAAGGAGGCGACGTTCACACGATATTTGGGGAAAGTATCTTTTTCTGTATTCTTTCTAGTATTTTCAGCCTTGCTTCCCATGTTTAATGTTCATTTTGTTTGGTTTATCAAGCACATCATTCAAGTTATCATTCTAGAAGTTACTGTAGCTACTTTATAATTTTTTTGGTCCTTATTAATTAATTTCAGAAATAAGAGAGGTTTTAATGAAATGAAGTTGGGTATAAAATAGGGATTAGTATTAATATCTAAGACGAATTCACTAATATTTTTCCTTAAATTATCAGAAATAAAAGTAAAAGTAAAAGTGATAAAAAAACTTTAGAATCATTTGCTGTTTTATCAGTGCATTCCATGAGATATTGCACATCAGAATTAGCCATAAACTTCGCAATTGTTAGGTCAATTGTGGCACCAGTATTATCAATATTTGATATAAAGCAGATATCTCGTCCTTCACCGATCAATTCATCGAGAATTCCATTAAACATCATCGATTGGAAAATATTTCCATGTCCAGGTGGATACCATCTATAAATAGAATCGATATTTATATTCACTTCAACGACCACCATTATAAAGCTGAGCAATATGGTGTTTCGTAATGTGCCTGAGGACAAGGAAAAGCATCTTGTCATAGAAATTACTTTGACCAGCTGAACCAAGCATGCTCTTAGAAAAGGAAGAAGAACAAACCGATCTAGCGGATCATCTGCACCTTTTGGCAATGGCGCCAATGTGTCCGCATAAATTCGTGGACATTTCGACTGCATAAATTGTCGTATATTGGATTTACGTAAATTTATTGCCTCTCTAATAGCTGAATCTGTACTGAAGCTATTCATTAGGATTAGCGGTACACAACTTTCGTGAGTTTCATTGAAAACCTAGAAAATCGTGCATTCCAGTAAAAATTATCATAAAAGATAATTAAGTAATGAATTGGTTTTCAGGAAAATCTTTGATAAGAATTATGTTCTAGTGAGCAAATTAATTTTTATACTACTCAACTAGGCTAATTTGAAAGTAGAACTTCATTTTGCTTGATGGCAAAATCAAGAAAAGTCATTCCATCTCGAACTTTAATCAATGACTTCGGTCCATTGCATCCCATTGTGGTACCAAGACCGCCATTAAGCTTTATAACACATAAACGTTTCAATATAGCGCTATCTTCATTAGTTTCGTACTTTCGCAGATTATCATACTCTATTTCGTACGCCTTTCCAAGTGGCTTTATTTTTGACCAATTAACTGTCGATGGTTCGTTGAGATATTGTTCGAATAATGAAAGAAATATATTGGAATCATGAGAAGAACGCTGTAAATTCTATTCTATATTTTTTAAAAGAATCACCACAAATAGTGTTTAGACTCGCTCATCTCATTTGTAGCACTAGACAAATATGCCATGGAGTCTCTCAGCGACAGAAATACAGATGAGTCGCCAGCACCACCCTATTTTATATGACTACAATTCTTAATAATATTTCTAAAAGGGAAAAAGAAAATATTTGCCGAGATTTTAGGAGAGGAATATGGCTTAGTGTTTGTCGCCTTCATATCGAAGTTCGCGAGATCTCATTCGACGCTGAAGTCTCATAGCCTGTCTTTAAAAAAGCGACTGGTTTTAGCTGTACTTCTACTGCCAAGCGACTCTCTGGCGAAATTTGTCTGATCCGAGAAGACAACCTGTCGAGTCCAACCAGGAATGATGAGCTCTTCGAAAGAAATCCTTCATTTTTTGGATTCTTTTAAAGGTACAAAAGAAATTTAGCGTGGAAAAATTTTTGGAAATCTTACCGAATCACTACTAATTTTTTCAAGAGATTCTTTCATTTTTGATAAAATTTTTGAATGACAATTTGACTGAGTCATAATGATAAAATTTTCTGAAGTGACTCTTATATAATAACTTTTTTTCAAATCGAACTGTCACAATACGAATAGAAATTTCATTAACAACAAATCTCTGAAATCTTTTACAATTTGAAATTCAGTAAATGAAGATTTTATCCTTTTAAAATTTTCTCACTTACCCCGCTTAACGCTCGAAGTACCGTAAGCACGCAGTCCTTCAATGACCGCACCCCCGCATTTATTCACACCGCATCAAATAACGATACACAACACACAAAACGCAAAATTGCGCGCAGTGCTGAATTGATTAGTTCACTTCAAAAAATTTTTTAAACATACTTATTGCCCTTTTAAAACGAACACCGCTGTCCGAGAGGCCGACTAGCCGATCAGTGCCAGCCAAAGTGGAAATGGAACACAAGCTTACGAAATAACGAGATTTTTAGAAAATAAAATAATAACCACACGGATAAAAAATTTTTTACAAACTTATCGAAACCCCATTTTTCTTGAATGGAATTTTTCATAATGGAACGCAAACTTATTGTCCTATCCAAAACCGTGGTCAACAACTTGATGCTTCGTTTTGGATTTATTGTAACAGTTAGTTATTTCCAACAAAGAAATAACAATAACAAGAGAAATATAAAAAAATACGATCATTCATTGATAAGAAAGAAAATGAAAAATTGACGCTTCTTCTTATTTCCAATAATATGCTGCAAAATTTAGAAATTCATACAAGATTTCTTATTATATTATTACAATAAACAACTTAACAATTGTAAAAAATTTAAATGAATCTGAACTGATACAAAGAAACCAATAAAATGAATTTGAGATATAATAAGAAAAATGGAAATATCGCATCTATTATCAACTCCCATTCAATCAATGTTTCGACCTTGGTCTTCAGTATACTCACCTAAATATAGATAAGAGATTTGTGATCGTCGATGCTCTACTCGCCACACATAATATTCATAAACAATTACTTTAATTAAAAGATATTTTTAAAAAATCAAGAAAAAAATCGTTAAAAATTCTGCAAATAATGTATCGATAAGAAAATAAAAGAAATGCAAATATCAACTGACAAAGATGACCAAAAATTTTTTTTGTGAATTCTATATGCAAAATTTGAAAAATAAAAATATAACCACAACAATAAAGTGTAATAAAGTGCAAATTGAAAGAGAAAAATATATTGAAAAATACAAAAAAAATAAAATTTTCACTAAAATACTGAGACTGAGAAGAAAAAAACTAAGAAGAAAAACTAGAAATTTAATTGCTCTTCCAAGATATTTGAAACAAAACAAAAAATTCGATGGCTACATTAAATCGAGACTTAAAAAGGAATATACCAATCTTAACCAGATCAACAGAGAGAGATTCGCGATTTAAAAATTGAGCTATTTATTAAGATGTTGATATTTATAACGATAAAAACTGGATGATGATAAAATAATGGTGGTGTTCTTCGCAAAATTTGAATTTGAGCCTAAAATTTTTGGAAAATCTTATGGTATTGTGATTTTTAAGAATAATTTAATGTTATGTTACTAATGCATAACTTTTTGAATCATTCACCTAAACATTCCTTAAAGAACATTGATACTACTTTATAAAATAAATACATAAGATCAAATAGTACCACAGATACCATAGATTATGTATAAGTGTGTAATATCACCACCATTATTCATGCAATAATTATAAATATATACTTCCACACTTCCAAAATAATAAATTAATAATTTATAATTTTTATAAATTAAGCTAGCACTTACAGGCCTGAAATCTCCTACGTCAAGAAGGATAAAACTTTTGTTCGCCAATATTTGGAGTAGAGCAGTTTTCTTTTAGATTTTGGTCCTATTAATATACGTGGGTAATATGGCTTACTTAGCCAACTGTTTAAATGAACGAAAAATAAAGGGAAGAAAAAACAAGCGTTAATAAATTGAATATATCCATAATATAAAATTACGGAAACACCAATAAATGTTTCTTCTTTTCGATTATTTCTTTAATCCATTCCGAATCGACTACAGTTATATCTCTGCAAAATCGGTAATTTTTAAAAAAATTTCACAGGTCACTTCCAGCAAAAATTCATATAACTGAGATGGTTTGAAAATGATTGAGTAATAAAAATAAAGTTGAAATGAAAAAAAAACAATAAACACAAAAACAGGTTCGATGAATAGCAAAAAAGAATCTATCGAATTACCTTTTATATATTTACTGAACCATCATCCTTTCACTGAATATTAGGGTAATAAAAATATACGAGACTAAATTAGGAAGTAGAAGGAATTTAGCAACTCTTAGAAGAACACGATAACTTACCCAAATGATTTTTTGGTTATCTAATTGAAAATTAACCCATTTATTCAACTTTTGAAGGAGAAATGATGGTCCTCATTTTGAAAGGAACAACAAATCACTTTTAAACATTTTTAAAAAAACAAATCAAGTTTAGAAATGGACTATAAAAAAAAAGAAAAATAATTTTTCTGAAATTTTAATTATATATGGGAAGATTTGATCTATAGAAATAACCTGGCATAAAGTTCGCAAGTTTTAACGAGATCGGAATAAATGAATGTTGTCGGTCGAGAATGAGCAAGACAAGAGGAAGGATGTATCTTGACTATTGTTTCCGGCGAAAGGACCAAACGATAACTATCCGAGGATCGGTCATATTCACAAGAATTCATAAACAGACCCGTACATAATGCTTTCCTAGAAATCTTTCATTAACAAATTCTTGACAAGGCAAGCAACTGCAAATATAATAAAAAATCCAATGATTATGGATTTACTAAAGTAAATAAAATTTATGACTGGTCATGCAACAACAAATCACTTGTTTTTACAGGCATAAATCTACCACTAAATGGGATTTGGTCTAATGATTGTACCTTTACCCTCAAGTAATTCTATGACCGATTCCACTGGAGGCATCTAAATCGAAAATAAAATTCTTTTTACAACAATAAATATGGTTGACCTAATTCTCTAATCTGCTAGGACGAACACCAATACAAAAAAATAAAAAAAAGACAGTCAAATTCATTCTCAAGATTTTTATCAGTTCTTTTAGAGAATAATTTAGAGAAAATTCTTTTAGAGAAAATTATATGACTAGAAAATAAAAGAAAAATAAAGACAATAAGAACTGTATTGACCTTAGCTTCGTTCGATCTGTACCACAACTTACGAAATTCATTTCATTTTTCTGGCATATTTCACGCAACTGCCGCCGAATTTTGATGACTATGTTCATTACACGCTCATTAACGAAATTTGTAATACACCATTCCTAACAAAATTTAAAAGGTTGCGTTCGTTGAATTTGTAAAAAAAACCTCATCTTATCTGATCCCTAATCTCATCTTATAATTTATCAGCTAAATAAATCTCTCGCAAAATCAACACCACACTTAAATTTAATTTAATTAACAAACAAATTTAAATAACAAAATTAATTTAATTCAATCAAATTTAATTAACAAACATCTTTAAAAATTCTTTGAAACTATTCGGAAAAAAATTATCAGTAGTCAGTGAACAGCTTATAAAAAATAAAAATAACTTCTGAAGCACCAAAAAAATTGTTACAATTGTTACCTTCTTATCATACTTTTCGAATCGATAGGCTCGATAAATATTAAGCAAAGTGATATGGTCACCTTCAATAGCTTCGTATTTTTTCCGCGAATTATTTGATGCATCTCGATCCGATGACGAGGTAATATATATAGATTCAGCTGCCATGAAAGATACAATGGTTAATGCTTCTTCTAAACAATTTTGCTGAGACGCTGCTATAAGTACCCTAAAATGATAATCATGACAGAAACTATTTTAAAAAAAATGAATAAAATTAGACTGAACTGAATTCAGTGATTTTCAAAAATTTAAGCATATTTAAAAAAAAAAAAATTAAACATATACCAATTGGCAAAAAATTAGCAAAAATTATTTTTTTATACCGTGCCAATGGAGGATCGATGGGGAAAGCTGAAAGCTTATTGCCCAAATCCGTTAAGAATATTCGACCTTTGTGGTCAACTGGTTGAAGAGCATCCAGCATTCTTAATTGATATTGCGCACTTTTTATAGCATCAATCGAAGGAGAAGATGGAAGTGAAAGTGATCGAATCTTTCGCAAACCAATACGCAACAGTTCTAATAAAACCTATAAAAGTGTAATAAAATTTTTGACAGAAATTTCCATTCCACTTTACTCTTCTTACTAGCGCACACAATTTCTGACCTAACTGGGTCCACTAGGTAAACAGTATTTCAGAGCCTCTATTTTTTTTTTTTTTTTTTTTTTTTTTTTTTTTTTTTTTTTTTTTAGCCAATAACATTCAAATTCTTTTCACTCAAAATAGAAATAGATATGTGAGCCAAGAAAAGAAAAGGAATCATTTTTTATTAAATCAAAAAAACCAGAAATTTAGCTAAGCTAACCGAAGATAGATTCGAGCGCAAAATTTCGGGTATCGCAGTAGCTTCAAAGGCTTGAAAATCTTTTTCGGAATAAAGTCGATAACATTTGCCTGGTGCTTCACGTCCAGCGCGTCCGGCTCGTTGTGTTGCTGAAGCTCGACAAACATCTTCAACGCGAAGGACGTCAATTCGACGATCAGGCAAAAATGTCCTAAAATTCACAGATGTCCGGCGATTTACATCAAATTGCTGAATAATCTCTAATGATACGCATTATTTCTGGTTTGTCCGACTCCTCTAATTCCTATGGTGCAGTTAAAATTAGAAAAACAAGTGGATGTTAGTAACTATCTGGATTTTAATGACCAGCTTATTCGTGTCAATGACTATAAATGGAATTAGATGCCTGCATATTGCTATCGTGCGCTTTGACTGAATAAGTTAATAGATCAGAAATATGTCGAACTGATTAAAAATACCTTATTTTGACTTTTCCGCTATCTATAACAATTTTTATTCCAGGAATAGTAACTGATGTCTCAGCAATATTGGTTGAAAAAACAACTTTTCTTACATCCTACAAAAATTTTAACTTAACAATCGATTTATTTTATCGTTTTATTTATACTGAGAAACATTTAAATAATTAAAACATCGCTGAAGTGAATTTATAGTTCATTTAAATAAATTTTTAAAAATGAAAAAAATTAGATAGAAAAGAAATAAATTTAACTTGCAGGCGTAGTGGTTGGTTCAAACACTCGCATTTGAGCCGAAGGCGAAAGATTCGCATAAAGTGGAAGCACCAATATTTTTTTATCTAATCGATCCGATATTTCGTAAACCTGTTTACAAGCAGCTTCGATTTCTTCTTGTCCAGTAAGAAAAACAAGCACACCAGAACTTTTTTAAAATTATTAGTCACAAATAAAATTTTTTTTTCGTTTAGTTCTAATTGAACCTTTTTTTTTCATGAATTTTTCATGAAAAAGATGAGTTTTCATAATAATTAAAAACGTAAAAAATACATTGTCTTTACTGTAAATATAAGAAACATAAAAAAATACTCGGTGGGTTCGGACTGGTGAACTTGCATAAGAGTCGCTAAACAGTTGAAAACATAATCGTCTCTTGACTCTTTTAGAGAACATGCATAAAACAACTAAAATTATTAGCTGCTGACATAAAATAGATTTTAAATTTTAATATTAATTATTTCTATTAAAGCAAAAAGAATGAAATTATGTTCACTTCACACTTTACCAAAAGGAGCCACGATTCAAGATATCAAATATAATAAGATAAAACTTAAGCTTTTCATAAAAATTTGAAATTTGAAACCTATCTATCTAAGAAATCTTGAAGATATTAGAAAGAAAATAAAAAAGAAACTAAAGTTTTCTGAAAAGATATTAGAAAGAGTTAAAATTAAAAATTTAAAAATCTCAAGCTATACTGTGGGGTTCTCCCCTTGTTATAGCCATTTTTTCCAATTCCAATCATCACTTCTGGCTCCACTAAGCATTATTAGAGTTTATTAAAGGTGTGTTTTTTTGTCTTTAAATCATTTAAATCTTAAAAGTACTAAAGAAGGAAAAGTACGCGATTCCAATTTCTTTTCCAATATAACTTTGCAAAATGAAACAATATCTCAATCAACTCATTTATGAATTTAAAATGATACATTAAATGGAATCCAACATTAAAAAATATTTACTTCTATTGGATATCTTCTTCCCTCTATCAAAAACACAGGTGCTTGATCGAAATAATCCGATAACAAATCAGTATCCAAAGTTGCAGACATTATTATCAACTGAAAAAAAAGATAAATAAATCTAAAATTCGGAATATTTATTCGAAATATCATAAAAACATCTAACAAATAAACAAATTTTAATCGTCTAAGGTGGAAAAAAAATAAAAAAAAATTAAGTCCACTCTTTCCCTAACCACAAATTATCTTCTGAATCCAAAATCAATGATTATTAACCCAGAATGTGTGTAATGCAGGGTGCTGGCGGAGTTAATCCTAAGGATACAAAGGACCGAAGTTCCCCAACCTGTAAAAACCACTCCTAAAACCATTTTTTTTCAGTTGATAGAACTGGATTGATTTATTTCATTATTTCCTTAAAAAACTACTCAAATGTCAATAACTAATTCGAAATTTAACAAAATGAAATAAATAACTAATTTTACATGGATATGGAAAAAATAAAGCCTTTGATACCTTTAATGGATTTTTCGTATTTTTCCGCTGATTATGTATCAACTTAAGTATAAAAAGTAAAATATCGGTATGTATTGAACGTTCATGAGCTTCGTCAACAATAATTATCGAATATTGCGATAGAAGAGAATCATAAAATGCTTCACGCAAAAATATTCCATCCGTACCATAAATAATTCTAGTTTCCTCATTTGTAACATTTTCAAAACGTATTTTATAACCGACCTAAAAATATTTCCTTTAAATGAATTTTCATATGCAAATTTATAATATTAATTTCTAAATAATAAACATACTGAATTTAAAAGAAAAATCATTAAATTCATCAAACTTATTTAGCGATTTATTACAAAATAAGAATTATTGAGAAATGCAAAGGCTGTCACAAAAAGAAAGGGCACCATAGAAAGTCTGAAGTTTGAAAACTATATTTGATGTTTTATAAAAATGGAAAGAAAAGAAGCAAAACCGCAATGTGGTAAAAATTAGAATTTACTTAATATAATGGTTCTTAAAAAGTTGCTTAAACAATTAATTGCAAAAAATTCGAATAAATGGTTTTAAGAATAATATGGAAGAGGAAAGGAAAGAATATTCATATTTAACACAACCATTATGTACTTATAATTTGTGGTAGCATTCGTACTTTTCTATGAATAAACAATATACACTGAAATTATATACACTGTAAAGATTTAAATAAAAAACAAGAAGCTAATACAAATGAATATTTATTTCTTAATTAAATTCGCAAATTTTGAATAATTTTCGAATTGTATTTTTAAGAAAAATCTTACCAGTTCACCAGGACTGCAGTTCATTTCTTGGGCAACACATTCTGCAATTGTAATAGCAGCTATACGCCTTGGTTGTGTTATTACTATATTACCACTACCTGCCAAATCGTTTTCAATACAAATCTGAAAAAATTTTATCATAAAAAACAACAAAATAAAGAAAAAATAAAGCAATTTTTTACAATAATTGAACAAATTCTATGTTGGTCATAACCGCTTGGCTGGCCTCTTAGACTAGAAAAATTTTGCAAGCAAGCGGTATTAGAGATAAGTTGCCATTCTGAAAAACAGATTCTACCGCGATCCTCGACGCACTAAGCAACAATCTACCAGAACCACTCTAATCTTTTTCGTCAACCGGTAATATTGCTGGGTGACGAAGTGTGGTGCACTGGTCAGATAGGAACTCGAGTTTTCGATTTTCACTGGCATTCACCCACTAAGCCACATACCCAACAATTAAAATAATCTATTATAGCAGCAACAAGAAAATATAAAATACGATTTCACGAAACGAAAAAATAAATTTTATTAAGTAAAAATTAACAGATATTTTCCTAAACTAATAGAGATAAAATTCGCGAAACTAGAAATTTTTTCAAAAAAAGAATTAAAAATGTAATAAATTTCATAAAATAATTGAAATAATAATTTAAAACGACTGTGAACTGAATTCTCTTCTTTTTCATCCCTTAGTAAATCTTAATAAATCTTTTTTCTAAGAATATTTGTCGCCAAATGGCAAAAATGTTACTATGGGATCATAAAAGTGGAAAATAAATTCGAACTAGCAGTTCATCTTATTATCAAATAAAGACCACCATTCGGTTTGATCTGCTGGTTTCTTGGACTAGGCAAATTTTGCCATGGAGTCACTTGGCAAAAGTTTAAGTGAGCAGTTAACCGAGATTTTGAAAAGCAGGTTTGCTCCCACACCGTGAACAGAAACCTCAACATAAGTGAGAGCAAGAGTTCACCCACTAACCCATTTCATCCCCTTAGCGCACAACAGCGTAAACCATTTGGATGTTTCCATTAATTTCACCTAGTGAAGTATTTTCTAAATTGCCCAACTTTTAGAATAAATAAAACAAAAAAAATTATTCCCCGAGATGTTAGAATTTAGAACAAAAGCCAACCTGAGGTATTTGAGTACTTTTTCCGCTTCCAGTTTCACCAGCAATAATACAAATTGAATTTTTACGAATTGCTTTAGCTAACTGTATTTCAACTAAACGTACCGGCAATTCATTCTTTACATAAATGACCTGAAATAAAATTATAAAAAAAGAAAAGTGTTCTAAACGAAAACTGAAAATCAACTTTTGATAATTTAAAAATTTTTAAAAAACGGAATTCCCACAAAATTACAAAAAATTACATAAAATAAACCTTTTTCGTTCTCTTAAAATTTTCAATATTGCGCTTTTCCGATGAAAATTGACGTTTTTTTAGATGAATTAAATTATTTTTATCCATCAAATTTTTTTCGAAATTCGAAATTTTCTAAAATAAAAAAGAAAAATTAGTTCAATAAATTAAAGTTTTTTTCATATTTCGACATGTTTAAAAAAGGTGAATTTTTAAAATAATAAAATGAATAAAACGAAAAAACAAAAAATAATAAAATTTTCACACAAATTAAAATATATTTATGTTCATTTCATATAGTAAATCAATATAAACTGAAATATAAAGAAAAAATATAAATTAAAAGCAATTATGCATAAAATACGTCGTGCAATTATTATTAAAGGTTATTTTAAATTATTAAATGGAAACGTTATTAAATAAAAACTCGTATTTAATTATTAAATGAAAATATCATTAATTTTAATTTATTAAATACAAATATTATTGAGTTTTCATTATTATATATGAATATTACAATATTATTAATTTTGAAAATAAATCATTGATTAGCACCAGTGAATAAGATAAGAGCAGATCAAATGTCGCCAATGTCAGAGCCATGTTAACTCCGTGGTCAAGGCTTTGGGACTTGCTTTCGCTCGCATCGGCAACAAAGTCTTTTTAACCAGGAAGGCTCATCTTAAGCGTCAATGAGCCCTATGGGCCCTCTGGTGAAGCCAAACTAATGCGTATGGATCAAAAGATCAAACCAGAGGCCGAACCTCGGAAAGGTCATAGCGAAGGTCATAGCCACAGGGTGACATTTATAAAAGTTTTTTGCAAAATAGATATTTTGATTCCTGCAGTAAATAAAAATTTTGCAGTTATATACTTTGGCAACGTGCCAAAATCGGGAATAACACAAGTGCAACGTCATCAACAAAGAAATGGGCGGAGATTTCGAAGTGATGATTCATCGGAAAATTTCATCATTACGTGATTTGTTATATTTTTGAAAGGTTTTAAGTAGTTTTCGTTCCTTATAATGTTTGTGGGTTTGAAGGTCATCCTACCGCGCGAATTAAGGTTTCGTGCAAATTGAGGGTTCGCGAAAGGTTGGTTGTTTATTTTGCGATGAGGAGGGACACATTTGAGGCAAATTCCCATAGTTTAACCGCGATAAAAATAAAATAATCGTTAATATAATTTATAATTTGTATGACCATTCGGATAAAAAATAATCGCGTAAATTGAGACGATTGTTTTGTTTATAGTTGAAGAATGCCAGTTAATTTTTGCTACTGAAAATCGTATGGGTTATATAGTGAAATGACGAAATTCGCGTAAGCTTCGAGTACACGGCCAAAAATTACGCGAAATGAGATCGTTTCTTAATGAGTTTCTTATCAATTTACAGAAATGGATAAAGTAAACAACGACTGTAATAATGTAAATAATGAAATATGTCGAGCAATGCGAATCAATCTCCGCACTGAACTTTCACCTGTTATCGATCGACAGGTTTTGAAGTTCTTTTTTTTCGATCTTTATAGCTAAGGCTAGAATGGCTCAGTTGGCTCTGAGTTGCTCTCTTCTGGAGCTTCGATACGGGATTCTGCTCCCGACAGCACTTCTTGAAGATCCGAGTTACGAGTTATGAGTTATGTTATGCGAACGTTTTTGTCCGGTCCAATAAGCCAGCGAAACAAGCCTAGTCAAAAGTCTTAGAAATAAAGGAAACCTTTAATTTGTGATCGTGCTTTTCTATTTATTTATATATTTGATATATTTGAGGAACATGAATTACTGAAAAAAATTTTTTTAGACTGAAAAGTTTATAAATAAGAAAACAACTGTTGCATCAGAAATAAAGCATACTTTCATAACGAAGAGCACATCTTGGTACTTTCTCATTTTTAACCATGCCACGGCTCAACCCGAAGTAAACCTGACAAAGGTGAAATTCGGGTGATTGATTTTCTATTCTGTTTGCTACTGGCAGTATGATAGATAAGTCTCATCCTAATGTGGCGATTATTAATATTTAGTATTAATATTAATATTAATATTTAGTTGAGAGATTATTTGAGAGAATTTTCTTTGCCATTTTTTAAAGAACAAGTTATCGTCAAATAAAAAATAATTTAAAAAAAAGCAAAAAGTCATTTTATGTTTGGTTATCTTAATTTTTATTTAATAGTTCAACTAAGAAATTTTTTTTGAACCAAAAGTTTTTTATTTAATCGTTAAATTTTTTAATTATTAATGTGAAATGATTTCAGGATTCATTAATGTTGTGCGAGGAATTGCAGGAAAAAGATGGCTTGGATTTCATGAATGAAAATATGGATTTAACGCCATATTTAAATGATTTGAATGATTTTATTGGAAATGATACAATGTATGACGATATGATAATTGATAAGGAGCGATTCATAGAAAATTTGTATGAAGATAATAATTTATTTATCAGTAAAGTCAATGATATAATATCAAACGATGAGACAGGGACTGATAATAACTTAACAAAGGCTTCGCCAGTTTTTCAATTTAAAGACATAAAAGTCGAAAATTCCGAAGAAGATATAATATTTAAAGCGGAATGTTCAACATCGTCAAATAGAAATCCAAAAGTGGATAATGATAATTTGGTTTATATACCAAAAATCAAACCCAGAAAGTATTCGTTTAAACCTGAAGTAATTTTCGAAAAATATTTTTTTTAAACGTTCATTACTTGCTTTGAGAAAGAATCTTCGATTGGTGATATTGCAGTCTGATGAGATGTTTTGTTACTCTGGTTAGTGTTTGTAGGAAATAGCTAAGATTGTGATATTTGGGTGAGTAAACTAATTGCAATTTGTAGAGTGGTTAATATGGTGTCATTTTTTGATTTTTCGTACTACTAGCTGAGATCTTAATTTCGTATTTAGTTTAATATTTTATTCTTGACGATTAGTTTGTGAAAGAAATACCGATGTGATCGAAATTTTTATTTTTTCTTGGAAAATAAAATTCTGCTTTCAGGCAGAAAAAGAAAGTCTAACTTATCGGTTAAAACGAGAAAAAAATAATGATGCAGTACGAAAATCCCGTTCGAAAGCAAAACAACAACAAAAAATGAAGGATGTTCAAATTGCTAGTTTACAGTGTTGCGTTAAGGCACTCGAAAAGACCATAAGCGAGAAAGAAAGTCGTATTTCAGTTTTGCAAAATTTGCTTAAAGATACTCAAAATCAGAATAAGAAATTGTCAAATGAATTAAAAACGCTAAAACGACAAATAAATATGCTTAATTTGCTTAATGATTGTTGTCAATGCTCGCGCAAATCCGACTGCTGATCGTAGTTACTGCTTTAGAAGTTCAGATTTTCGGTATTTTTTTGGAAATTTTCTTTTTTCGAGCAGTAATACTATTTGCGTAAGTATGCCACATTTGCTGCTGTAACATATTATGTAACTATTTCGTACTCGAAGCAGTTTAATTTACTCTGTGAAAAATTTCCCATCATGTTTCATATTCTTTAGAATTTCGTAGCTATATTATGGTTCCATATTAATAAATAATAGTTAATAGTTCCATCTTATTTTGCCTTTTTTTCATTTTTTTATCTCCATCTATTTTGCAAATTGTTTTATTTTTTTGCCTTATTTGATGACCAGTTGTTTTATTTGTGCTTTTTCATGACATTTTCGAAATTTTACGGTAATTTTATATTTTATTGGAAAAACATTGATATTTTAAAATGGTTTAAAAAAAAACGTTATGGAAAATATTGTTCAAGTATTATGTCATCTAAGTTTTTCAGATTTTTTTGTGTTCAAGTAATTTTTTTTCAAATATAAAATTCGGCCATAAAAAGAAACAATAAACAAAGATTTGAAGAGAATCTGTTTAAATAATAGTGACGGAAAATTGAAGGCTAATTGGAAACATAAGCTCAACCGCACCGTTCATCTGTTTATTGGTGATGGTGGTGGGAAATGTTTATTTCTGCATCACTCAAAAACTTTGTTTTTGAGGAATCACCGAAGCTGAAAAATGATATATACTTGCAGAATGCAATGAGGAGTGGGTTTAAAACATGCAGCAAGAAATAAAACCTCAAACAATCATTCTTCAAATCGATGACGCAAAGATGCCTTCGAAGAAAATCGAGACCAATTAAAACTGGTGTTGCTTGTCCCGATAACACTTCGAAATTGCAGTGATAGCAGTTATCACCGATCTGCACTACACCTACAATCAATTCTACTTTTACATAGTAAATTTTACATAGTTTGAATATTTTTTTTCATGATCGCAATTATTTTTACCGATAAGGACAAAAAGAAAAAGGGCCGTTGTAATATTTTTATATTTTACTGGGTCAATCTAATATATTGAGCTATATAAAAAAGCTACTAGCATGACTAACTAACAAGCATGAATTTTGCCAATACATTCCATTTTGCCCGCAACACCGTGAACCGTTACATTATACGCTTTATCCATGACATCAAGCAATCCACACCGAAGTGCTTCGCTGTCGGATAAAATAGACAATTGTGCTCCTAAAAAAGAAAATTTCGGTGAGCTTTTTTTTGAATCACGAGAAAAGAAATAAAATATTTAACAACTTAATATGAGCAATTTTCAAAATGTGCCTATCTTTTAAAACTGAAATTTTAAAATTGAAATTAATTGTTAATTGACTGATAATTGAAAAGAAATTAAAGGAATTACCGGTATCAATGAATGCCTGCGTGAGAACTCCATTGATTTTAATACTAATATAAAGCATATTAACTGGAATATATGCTTCAGGCATATGTTCTATCGCATAATTTCTTGCCATTATTATATTTTTTAAACGAATTTGTTCCTCTATTAAACGCTGCCCTTCTGTATCCGTTGGATCATTCATTTTTTGTTGGTCACGAACAACTTTTGCAACATAACTTTCTGAAATTTCAATTTAGAAAAAAAAAAACAAAATTTAAAATCGATACTTTTTCAATAATTATTATTGACATATATATTTATAAGCTGTCGAATCATATTTGAAAACAATTTAAAAAAAACTTTGCGAAATTTAATGCTGTACTTTATATATTAATACAGCTGTGGTGGCCTGAACAGGCGTTAAAACTATTTCACATTCTTTGTAAATCAATCGTAATTCGAAAAATGGCCGATGAAATGATCTAAGAAAAGATGAGGCTTAAGAGAGAATGAATAAATTCAACCATGTTGTGCCATCGGTAATCTTCCAAAATATAGATAAACATATCCAGCGAATGTAACCGCTATGCAATAAAAACAAGAAATGATTTTCCTCATTCAAAACTTTAGTCAAAAATCTCTTGGAGATGGATTTTCAACTGAACTCTTCTTTATAATTCATCATCAGATAACTAACTGGTATACGAAAAAGCGCAGCAACGATCCTGCAGACGATTTCCATAAAATTGTACGAACTGTAGCAGCCACAGAAAAACAAGTCGATTAGATATCTCTGATAAAGATTTTATCTCTTTTATCCCTTTTAGGCCCGACAAATTCATTGTGGTATACACTGCCACGCTAATTCCAGACTAGTGTACATGTCGACCAAATATTCGCGTTAAGATGATGAATTACAAAGAAGCATTCGAACATCACTTCAAATATTAACCACTCCTTTTATTGCTTACGATTGTAATTTTGAGGTCCATACAATGGGGAGCTCAGAGCACATTCGACTTATTAAGACGTTTTATCAGAGTACAACAGCATACGTCTGTATTTATGGGAAAATGATTAAATGTTTCAAATCTTTCGAAATGGCCTAAGGCCAAGTCCTTATCCCTATACGAGATGGTCGAGATTATAGAAATCGACTGCTGCTATTCAAGAAGCAATCCTGCAATGAAGTTTGGGTCCCAGATATGCAAGACAACTCTTTTCATCTTATATATTGGTAAAACAAATTTGTTATCACCCAATATTGACGAGAGAAATAGTTAAAGGTCAAGAGAAAAATAAAATTTCATCTTTAATAGCATTGCCGCGACATATGTAATTTGCAACATTTAAATGCAAGGTGATAAAATGATATTCTACAAGAAGCAAGCATCACCGGTTTCATTCCTACATCTTGATTCTTGACTGAGATAAACTTGTTAAAAGTGAAATTCTGGTTTGCTAGGGTATCCAACTGTAATTCTGGTCATGCTAATATACTATGAGTAAATATAAATATAAATACCCACATGCAATTATGATCCCAAATGGTTATCCAGGAATAAGGTGCCAGCAACCAATGGAGTTAGCCAAAGGTGGCTAGATGATCTACAATGGTCAATCATAGTGGGGCGAAAAAAATATTGGAAATATAAAAAAACATAAAATGAGAGTTGAAAATATCAAGAAGCTACCCAACTATAACAATCTTTTCTGAAATATTTGATGTACTCGTCGAGATGACAGAATCTCGCAAATTGCATTTGCTCTCGCTCGAACACTTGGCATCAATGGTATTGCCAAGAGCGTTATCTATGCTCGCTAAGCTATGGTTACAAACCAAAACTTATGAAGAATGGTCATATCACCATCAGTAGACCAGATAATCTAACTGCACAGGAGTCTCAACGATATAAAGGCTTAAATAGAAGAAAAAAGAACATCTTTCATAATAGCATCGGTTCAGATGAAGAAACAGATTACCCTAATTAATCAGCAAAACAAATCAAACCAGAAATGGTTTTCTTTTGAATATAAAAAATAAGAAAAAAAGACTAATTTAAAAACTAACTTTTAACAGTCATTTTTGATACAAATATTTCTATTTTTATAAAAATACAACAAAAACATGTGTATAGATAATACTAGAGAATTTTCAAGAAATTTTTTTGCTGAGCGGTCGTTTCAAAAAATATTCTCAATTTATTTTTGTGAATTTATTTTTTATTTCTGATCACAGTTCAACTAAGCCTTTTTAAACTTTTAATTTTTTTTTAACCAAACAACGAATAAAATAAAATTAAATTAAATCAGTTAAATTAAGAAAATTTTTTTTTAATTTAATTGCTTTTTGTTTTTTTGAAATTTCATTGTCTATTTTATTATTTTATTTAAATTATTATTATTTATTATTAAATTATTATTATTATATTATTTAAATTTAATTTTTTGTCTTTGGCAGGAGTAAAGAGTACCTGCCATTATGTCAAAAGTCCGAGTGGCTGCTGTGGACCCACCTGTATCTCTATCCCCAAGTGACTTTGTGAACGGGTCAGATATTTTTGATATGGCGTCCGCATTTCCCGACGCGTACTCCTAGCCCGGTGGTACATGCGACAAGTGCACAATTATAAGTGCATAAGGGCTTAAAGCGATACCAAGGCTGATAGATAAAATGTGCTCGCAAGCCAGGGTAATTACTCGAAAGGAGATCTATCAAGGAGATCAGCTCTCTGCACGCGTAGCGAGGCTTTAGCCGTATCAGCGTGAAACATCAGAACGCTTATGGAGACTGCAAGCCAAGCGATCACTGTCCACACTCTTTCTAAATATCGTGCGGATATCGTTTGCTTGTCAGAGGTCCGTCTTCCTCACTTTGGGTCTCGAGAAGTTATTAATCCTGGTTCAGAGCAGAGATACTGGCTATATAACTGTGATGTTTCGGATAACACGGGGCGAAATGGCGTAGCGATTGTGATATCTGACAAAGCCCATTCCGCTGTGACTGAGCGGAAACCATATGGCCTATGCCCGTTTTAAGGGTAAGGTCTGTAATATTTCGGTCATAATTATCTATGCTCCAACTCTATCGGCAGATGATAGTGATAAGATAAATTTTATGCGGAATTTCAACTACTAACAAGGTCGCTACCAAAATATGATATGGTCATAGTCGGAGGAGACTGGAATTATGACTATAATTGGCAAACATGGCATCGGAGACCGGTGCACCAATGGGAAACGCCTTCTTCGTTATGCCGAAGAGTATGAGTTTTTTATTACTAATACTTGCTTCCGGCATCGTAGAAAAGATCTAATTACGTGGAACTCCTCGGATAACCAACACTTCAACCAGATTGATTAAATCTTTTTAGTTCACCATTTGAAGAGTTCCGTACTAGATAATCGTTCCTACCGCGGCACTGAAACGGGTGATCTTCATGGATCTGACCATGTTATGGTTCGAGCCAAGGTCCGTATAAAATTGACAACTCACAGAAAACAGCATCCCCAGAGATCCTTAAATATCTCAAACTGAAAAATTCCGTGGCAGTGAGGCGTTTCAGATTGAATTATTGAAGCATCTCAGTGATACAAATATCAATGACTCTTCTGGGACGGAAAATGAATACTGGTCAAAACTAAAGGAATGTCTCCGAAAGTCGGCCACTTTTACGCTAGGGCATACTAGTAGAAAGTGTGCTAGTTGGGTATCGGCAACCAACTGTCTGAAAAAGCGAAAGCTGCCAAAGCACGAATGATGTTCATTGGATGTTTCGAAAATTTGCAACGAAAGCATCACGGTGGGACAGAAATCACTATTGGAGTGACATGGCCAGCCAAGAATGGAGGCAACGGCTCGATTAGGTGACAATAGGAAACTATTCTGCCTTCATCATAAAGTAACTATGACTGATCAGTGAAATGCTAAGAGACAGCAATGGCGTACTGATCAAAAGTATTAAGGACCGCCTTATAAGATGGAAAGAATTCTTTGAGGCCAAACTTAACCATGAAGAGCCATCTGTTGCTCTCATATAACTGATACGTTTACCGAAGCATACGCGTGTAATTGCAAGCCTCGAATAAAAGTAATTTCCTTTATCCATAAGCTTAAGGCCAATAAGGCTCCGGGAGAAGATGATCTTCGGACTGAACTCTTTAAATATTGTCCATCACAATACACCTTCAATTGTACTCTCTAGTATGGGAAATATTATAAGATGACTGGAATAAAACAATTCTGCTCCCAATTCTCAAAAAAGGTGATGGGACATACTGAGACAATTATCAAGGAATAAGCCCTATTAGACGTTTCAGCGAAAATTTTTGCTTCCCTTTTATTCAACAGACTTATGGAAGTACGAGACAGTAGGATGCGACCTAATCAAGCTGGATTCAGACCGGGGCACAGTTGTGCTGACCAGATATTCACGTTGAGAAAAGTGTTGGAACATCGCTTCAGATATTTGCAACCCACTGTCATGTGTTTCATCGACTTTGCGGCTAATTTTGATTCAATTGATAGGGGCTTTGGAATGTGATGGAACGCGACGGTGTTCCAGACAAGATCATTCGACTCATAAAGGCATTTTATCAGCGTACGTCATACAGATGCATTAGGGGAACTGATAGATTCCTTCAAAATAAGAACTGGTGTCCATCAAGGTTGCGTCTTTTCCCCTACAATATTGGACTATGCGATAGATTGGATATTGGAAACAGCTTGTCAACATGAGTTGTGCAAATCAGTTAGAAGCATCGTATTACAGATCTACGCTGATGATGTAGTCCTTTTTGCTGATAGTTTTGACGAAATGCAAGTAATGCTAAATAACCTGTCTAAATAACGTGTCAGAAAATGCACCAAGAATAGGACTCAGGGTCAATGTATACAAAACGAAAGTCTTTTCGTCTTATGCACAAGAAGCTGATAAAAATACCTCTTTTTGTTAATTCATTGCCGATCGAGAAAGTGCCCGATTAATTATCTTGGGTCCACTCTAATACTAAATGGCTAGGCAAAAGACGATATTACAGCAGATCACAGCAACTAGAAATGCATTCTTTTGGTTGACGAAACCTTTATAGAGCCGTCGTGAAATTACCATTAAAACAAAAGTTTGCATATATACAACCGTGATTCGTTCGATCTTGCTATATGGTTCTGATGCATGGCCAATGAGACTGAAGAAAAAAAGAAGCTATCTACCTTTGACCGCTTTTGTCTAAGGTATATTTTACGGATTCGTCGAGCGGATAAAATATCACATGGTCGCATCCACCTTCGTTGAAACACCAACTGCATTAAAATGTTATTACGTCGCCTTCAGTGGTTATGGTACATTCTCCGTCGTCCACCACAAGAGTTGTCGCATATTTTACTTGCTAAACCGTGTGATGGATGGCACCAAAAGCGAAGAGAGCCAGTCAAGACCTGATACGGCTAGGAAAGATTTCGAACGTATAGGTGTAAGCAATATATGGATTTAGACGATGGTATCAGACCACGCGTTTGGAAGCGTTTTACCCTTGTAGCCGTTGGAGCCAGCCTAACCAGAAACGGTGAGAACTGTTAGAAAATATATATGTATAATACTTAAGATACATACCAAAATCATTCTTCCTGATGATTTCTTTCATACTGTCGGATAAATTTCTCATGTGACCTGAATCAGCATTATCCATTAACAGTTGGTATTCTCTTCGAAGCTTAAAATAATAAAATAATAAAGCTTTTAGCGTTATAACTGAATGATTAGAACAACAAACGTATTCACAACCTTAACCAGTACATATACCAATTTTAGAAAAAATGTATAGTAACTTATGTTATCAGCTTTTCAACTGCAAATAATAATAAAATATTTTTATATTCATTCTTAGGTTTAATATTTAATATTTACTTTAATATTTAATTATATTATTAAAATATTTCAAACAAAGTTGTTGGATGAGAAGGGCTCGAAATTTCACCTAGTAATCACTGCTTAGACAGAAAATTTTATGTGTAAAAAAAATTTATTAAAATGATTAAAAAATTTATTTAAAATTTACAAAATATATTTTGTAAAATTTCATTTTCTAAAAAAAATAATATATATGCGAATATTCTGAATAATTTAAATATAATATCTGAAAATTTATTATACTGGCATATTTTTTAAAGAGCACTCACCACTGCTGATTAGACTCGCTCCTCTGGCTTGTCGGGCTCGACAAATATGCCATGGAGTAGTCTCTTGGCGATAAAAATGCAAATGAGTCGCCAGTATCACCTGGATTTTTTTACAGGTTTATTCCTATTATAAATAGCATTTTAGCACTCCTAAAATGAGCACCCTACTAAGCCATTTTGCTCTCTCTTAATTGTTTAAAATTATAGGCATAAAAATTTGGAGCAAACAAAGAAATTCCTCCACTGAAAAAATATACGACTAAATATTCTAATAAAATTAAATTGTAATATCGTAAAATTTTAATAAATATATTTTCTTCAGTTTCTAGTAATCACTGCATAGACAGAAAATTTTATGTATAAAAAAAAAATTTTAAAAAAAATTATTTATTAAAATTATTAAAATAATTAAAATTTAATTATTAAAATAGTTAAAAATTTATTTAAAATTTACAAAATATATTTTGTAAAATTTCATATTCTGAAAAAATAATCTATATGCGTAAGAATTCCTAAAAATTTTAATAGGTAACTACGTAACATTTTCAATAATTTTCTTAATAATAAATAAAATTTCCATCATCACAGAATGGCCAAATGAAGAAGATAAAATAAGTAGCGTAAATGCCCCGTGGGAACAGAACCGAAAATTAGTACTTCACATTCGGTTTTCTGATACAGTGTTCAATAAAACTCTTTTGTTCATTGATCAATCAGTGATGAAATATGATCCTTGTGATTTATTTTTCAGATCTGAACATGATTATAAGTCCCTTCTTCCTCTTGTCGCAACATTCGCCATTTGATTTGGTTGGCTCCAATAACCAACAGGGCTCTACTTTTTGCAAAAGTGAGTTCGGTCAGGACTTCATTTTTATAATGGAAGAAGAGTATAAGAGAAGAAGAGTACAGAAACTGAGCCATGAAAACAAGGATTACATTTACATACACAAGGCATGGGAGCGAAGTATAATCGAGGCCATTTCTGCTCAGTTTCTGAGCCAAAATTCTCATACCACTATGCTATTATAATTTATATAAGAAAAAAAATTAACCAGATTAAAATGAGATTCAATGTAAGAAATACGAAATTTTACTTACAGCAGCAATATCTGATTCAAGTAAATTATGTTTTCTAGCAATCACTTGATTTGGATTCAATTTGGAATGACTTGGAACTTTTATTGCTTTCACCAAATCCGCTATAATATTTGTTCGATCATTTTGTTTTGAAGTACTTGGTACGAGATGTGAAGGCTTTTTCTGGACAAGAACTAAATCTGCATTCGAAAAACCAAGATTCTGAAAAAAATTATATTTTTTTAATAAATCGAAAAAATATTTAATATTTTCCGGTATATTTATAAAACAATTTTTATAAAACATTTTAAAAACAATTGTTATAAATGAATAGTTTCATAATAAATAAATAATGCTAGAGAAAAAAAACAAGAATTAATAAAATTTTTTGAAAATTAAAATACTAAAAAAAACTTTAATTAATTTTAATTTTTATTAATTTAATTAGTTTAATTTAAAGAATTTAAAGAATTAAAATTTTTTAAAAATTTTTAAAAAACTTAAAAAAATTAAGAAGGAATTCTAAAGTAATTCTTTTAAATATATTTTTATCAAATAAATTTTTTTCTTAAATTTTTAATATAAACATTTTTTAAATTGCAATTAGGTGTACAGTTCAGGTATAAGTTCAGTTCATGCTGCACTGGCACTCATTTACCTTCTTTCTCATTAATCAATATCATTAACCAATTTACACAGGTGTCTATCAGTCTATCTCAAATGTGGTTCTTTCTTCCCACCTATATCTTCTAAAATATAAAAAGGAGTTCAAATGAGCTGACCTTTCAATCGCCATCTTTTCACGATTAGAAAAGACTGGTATTTCCGATTACCGTTTTAAATACGGAAATTCTATTAAAGTAAGTAAAAAAACAAACCAAAAGTTTTTCATTTAAATTTTTATTTCCAGGAATAATCTTCTTTCCATTTATTACAACCAAAAGATCTGTAAGTGAAATATTACGATAATCTTTCATATTATTCACACATTCATTGAGAAAAGTAGAAAGTGTTGCATCGTTGTCCACAATTACTTCATGACAGATTTGAAATTCCGGATCATCACTTACTGTTAAAATCATATCTGAAATCATTACTTTTTATCAGCTTTATTAAACAATATTTATTTAATACTTATCTAACACTTAAAAGGTTAACCGTCTTATAAATCGATAAGAGATTCGAATATTAAAAGACCAGTGACACCAATAAATGACAACAAAACAACAGTCGCCAAAAGCATCAGCGTGAGAGAGTCGGTAAGAGAAATTACAAAAGAATGAAAAAAGACTCCTCCCATGTGGCAGAAGCACAACAAGGCAAAGAAGATAAGTAGATTTTTGCTTTCGCCATTTGTTGAAGAGTTAATATAATATTAAAAAAAACGAACGAGAGAAAGAATTCTTTTCGGTTAAAATAAAAATGCATGAAATTTAAAAATTCTATATTTCGATAAAATACCAACGAACCTAAATATATTCTGATAAAAAAATATGAAAAATTATTAACGATCACCAAATTTCTATAATTTTATGCAAATATTTATAGAATATTTTCGTAACAATATTTGTTCGATAGTTGTGCAAATATCTCGTACTTGCTTAGTGAAGATGACTAATTTTGTTTACGATGACTAATAAAAATATTCGATTTAAAGGAACCTCGGCATGGGAAAAGAAAAAAGGAAAAACAGCGTTGAGGACAAAGGTCAAAGCTTCTTTTTCAACTCAAAATTTGTGAAATTATATATTTCAAAATTGAACTCAAGCAAAAGGCATCTGTTCTCAGAAAAATATTGTATGAAATTGAAGAGCATATTTTCTGGTAAAACAACGATAGTATAATTTGGTACCTCGCGATGATATGAAGGGTTTTATCGCTATGACGAAAGTGACTGTCTCTTCTCTTATTCGATACTACTGCGTTTCTTGTGCCATTTATTCTCACACATCGATCTTTCTATTAATTTAAACCGCCCACGTTGAGAAGTTATAATAAAATAAGTGCGGAAATGGTCACGAGGAACCAAACAATGTACGAAATTACCCAGTCTTTTTTTAGACGACGTCAAAATGAAGTGATTTATTTCAATATTTGACTGTGCGAATAAAGAAATTCTGCATTCTCAAATTGGCTCTACAGGGCTTTTAACAATTTCAGCCCATTAGGATCTTTTGAATTTAAACTAAATTTATTCCAATTTATATTAATATTAATTGGAATAAAACTGCATATTTATAAGGTTACAAATCAATGCTTTAATAATTTTACAAAATTTTAAAATTTTTTATTTTTCATTTTGATGAATTTTAGTGAATTTAATTTTAGTGAATTTAATAAGATTTTTAGAAAAATATTTTACGAAATTAAGCAGAAAAAAATTACAAAATAATTTCGACCAACAAAAAATGAAAACATCACCCAAAAAAACCCCAAAATAAAACAATATTTAAATTAGTGAAAGGAATTTACACCGTTTAAACAAACTCCCATCAAGAACCCTATAAAACTTTACAGCGCAATATTCAGATTTTTCCAGATAAAGCACAAGCCTTTTTAGCCTACTGAGTTTTAATGTCAACTGAAATATGTATTTATACATTTTCTACGAAAGACAAGAACTTTTTTTTTTTAGCAGGAAGGAACTAAGCAGCTTGAAAGCACCTTTCCTTTGTAACCAGCGGAGCAATCCTAACCCGTAACGGTGCGGGTTGTTAGAGACGATATAGGAGAAGCATAATTGAAATTACGCAAAATGAATTACCAGAAAGTATTATTATTCTCACTTTTATTTCCAAAATCATATGTAGTCGTAAGCTCATTATTTACCTAATTATGGATAATGCTTGTGAAAGCGTGGTCCGATGGTCTGTGGGGTCCCTGTGGTCCTTTTAGGACCGAAAATAATTCTCTTAGGAATATTAAGACGTTCTTTTTTGTGTCTAAATTGTCTGTTAGAGCTGTACATTAGGATTTAATTCGGAGAGAGCTTTAGCAAATTGTGAATTTAAGAAGAAAAACTTCGACAAACTGGTGCATCGCCTAAGGCTATATCGAAGATCAAAGTTTTATTATTCTAAAGCAAAAGGTTTCATTTTTTGATTAAAATTTAAGTGGAATTTGACAAGAATAAAAAATATTTATTCATAATTCATGAAAAATCAACATTTCTGCATTTTTATGTACCAATGATTAGAGCGAAAATCTCGCCAACACTTTTCCCAGGTGCTGCCAAATGCTTTTGTCAACCAAGGCTATGCCGAAGAAACCGACTAATAGTTCATTTTAATTTTCAGAGCTGACTGTGGATGGTGCCCTGGTGCAAAGTCCTTTTAGCGTCATGTAAGAGGTAAATACTACAGATAAGCAAAAATAGAAATTATAGCGAAGAGCGTTTTTTTTATGGTAAACTCGCTTTTCTTGAAGACATGGTGGAAATTTTAACATTTGAGACCATAATCAAGCAATGATAATAACTCGCTGATTAGCCCATCAAAGAACAAATGACCGAAATAGAAAAAGGAACGAAAAAAATTGATTAAAATTGATAAACGAAATTCTCGTAATGAAAATTAAAAGTCCTTATAAGTCCACTCAGAAGGGAATAAATTCTTTGGTTCCCTTTGTTGACTTGTCTATGTTATTTTATTTTTCATTAAGTTTGGTTGATAATACTTTGATAATATCAGCAAACTTGATATTTCAGCATATCTTTTTGCTAATTAACGAAAATTAAAATAATATTAAAGCAGTAATGTTAAATGCATCGCACGCTAGCATGTTTTAACCGAGGTCGATGTTGAAATTCGAATGTAGCACCGAAGTGGAAGTAGAACATCCTGAAAGGTCCTAGTATCTTTAACGAAAGTTGCTGAAAATGGTATCGGTGACATATATCATCGATCAGGAAGCATTAGGATAGATACTGATAAAAAGAGAAAATAAAAATTTTTTTTTCAGGAATTTCCTTTGTTTTCCTTTTTATTATTCTTCCATTTTTTAATTTCATTTTTCTCGAATAATTTTTTATCTTTTTCTTCTTCAAAAAATTAGCTACTGTCATTGATAATTGTTAATAAAAATTTATTTTTTTACTGGCAACAATAACAATAATTGAAAACAGTTATTCATAATAGTCCATCAAAAGTTAAAAATTTATGATAACGCTAAAAATGTTAAAAATTTATAATATGAGGTAATTAAACTGTAATAATGTTAATAAAAGTAGCAATACTAGTAGTAAAATTAGTAATAATAAATAATAATAGTCAATAGAAATAAATATTCGAAATCTCGGGCAATTTATTTTTCCCTTTATTTTGTATGAAATTCGCTTTATTTATTTCTCTTGAAAAAAGATAAAATTTTTCAGTTATTTGTTCAAATTCATGCTTTACTTTAATACAGCAGAGATTATTGGTTCAAGAGAAATCCACTCAACTACTGGAACCAATTAGTGAAATTTTTCGCTCTTCGAAGGCTCTCTTTAAAATCACTCACTCGCGTACCCACCACTCGTACATTTTTTTAAATTTTTAATTTTTATTTATTTTTAAAAAAAAATTCCAGGAAAATGCCAAATTTTGATGAGTTTTTTGATGGATTTTATGTAAAAAAGATAAATAAAAATTTATTAAATTTATAATGAATATTAATTTTGTTTGTTCATTTTACGATCATTTCAATTATTTTTTTTAATTTTTCATCAAATTCAGTAAATTTCCTACCAAAAATCAATTAAAAATCATATGAGTTTTGCTTTTAATAGCTTGTAATTGAATTGCCGAAATACTTCGTTTAACTGCCAATTTTCGTCGTACAATGTACCATTCAATAATTAATGCTGTTACAATAAGAATACCGCAAATAATAAAAACATAAATTGCCCATTTCGGTATTAAATGCACACGAATACCGCCTTTTAACGCGTAAAAATCGCGTAATGCATAACCTAATTGATCAATGAGATCAGCAATTACAATATGTAATGGCCAACCTAAAAATTGTTTTAAATTTTAACAAATATATAATAATATAAATTAATTAAATAATTTGGGTTATAGGATAGTCTAGTGGGCTGTTACTCAATTCGGAGCGCCGAGTAGTATCCCCCCGAGGAATAAATCTGTCCAAAAATCGGGATAATGCTGACGACTCACCTATATTTCTGTCGCCTAGGGACTCTCTGGTATATTTGGCCAGTGCGACAAGCCAGCAGAGTTTAACCAGTAATAGTGAAAACTCTTAAGAAAAAAAATTAAATAATCTATTAAAGAAATAAATACCTTGTAAAATACCATTCGTTGATTCTAATTGAATATTTGAAAGAATAGGAATGAGGCGAACTTCACCTAAAGAATGATTTTTTTTTTTGAAAATTCCCAGCAGGAAGTAAACTTGTGTAAAAATTTGGTTGGTGGAACGAATCTGACCAGAAATGGCTAACATTCTTACAAAAAAAAGCAATCGAAATAGAAAATTTCTGATGGGATTTGGGGCTGAACAAGAGAATTTACGATATTTTTAAAAGATTATTTAAAGCCTTCGTGGCTATTTTATCATTTTTCATTGTTTCTTTCGACTCAAATTTCAATATTTTGTTTATTTTTGTAAAATATTTCTATAATTTCTATTTGTTTCTATAATTTTTTATTACTCATATTTTTATATTTATAAAAATAAAATACCCGTATGTATAGTTATATGTGGTAGTTTACGAATATCATTAATAATTCCATCAGTTACTATTAATATTAGAATATTTGGTTGATAACATCTGGAATTTTCATGAAACCAACGATCGTATAACGCTGATGCGTATATCTGTCATACAAATAAATAACTGGATATTCATGAATTTTATAGATAAATTATTATTAACACCAGATTAATGAAGGAATGGCTCGGTGGAATGGTGTTTTGGAGCACTAATACCTGAGTTCCACTCCTAGCATAAAACTTATTTTATCTTTCAAAAATCTGAACGATGCAACTGTACTTCTATCGCCAAGGAGTTGGCCAGATAGACCAATAAAGGAAACCCAGCCAGAAATGCTGGGCGCGCCTGGAAGAAGATAATTCAATTATTATTTAGATTAAACAATAAAACCAATGAGATGACTTTACTTTTGTAAAAACTCTAGTACTTGTGACAAATTTTTCAGTTCTTTCACTATTCATTGGAGAACATTCATCGTTAAATAAACACCCATAATCATCTTTATTTCGATAAACGACATCACTATTTATTGGCGGTGATAACTGCCGAACTTCAATTTAATTTTCATTTAAAAGCCTTTTTTTTAAGCTCGAAGTTTTAAAGTAATTTAGAAAAATTAAATGGAAATTAAAAGGGCTATGGTGGAAATTTTACCGAGAACAATAGCAATTGAACTTGTTGAATTATGGACAAATATTGAACGATGTTTATTATAGGCTTGTGATATAATAATTGAACCCGAATTACTTAACTGATGATGTAAATCACATAAAAATGGCAAACGAGTAAACATTATACAGTAAGTGCGATGCTAAAATTATGCTAAAATTTATTTGTTTATTATTTTTATATTATTTAAATTTATTTATTATCATAATTTTTGTTATTATTTTTTATTTTCATTGTTAATTTAAATAAATTTTTTAATTATTTAATGTATTTCTTTAATGTACTTTAATTATTTAATGTACTTCTTTTATCTTTATTATAAATTTTATTAAATTATGAAAATGCTCTATTTTCAATGCAAAAAAAGTTCAGAAAATATTATAAAATGTAAAATTTCATTTATTAAATGGAAATTTAATTTTTTGTATATTTGAAATATATTTTTTTTCCAAATTATATTCCAAATTTTTTTCCAAATTCAATGGTTTTTTCGAATCAAAAATTGTTGAGAACAATTAAATTTGCTTTTTAAAAAAGAATTATTTCCGCAATTATTTTCCTTTTTTTTCTGATTAATTCGCATCATTTTAAAAAGCACTTTTCGATTTTTTGGAAATTTTTTAAAAAAATGAAGAATCAATTATATATTATATCTTTAAAATTTTACATTATTTTAGTTCATAGTAATTTTGTTTCATTTTTTGCAATTCTGTATTTCTAAGAACATGTTTATAATATTTTCTGAATAATAATTCTTTATAATATTTATATATTTCTAAGAACAAATTTTCGAAATAAATAAATATTTTTAAAATTAATAATTTTTATAACCTAAAATTTTTTTAAATTTTTAAATAATTAAATTTTATAAATTTTTAAAATAAACAAAATTAAAAATTTTTTCAAATTTTGAAATATTAAATTAAAAAAAAATTTTCCGAAATTTCTTAAAAATAGATTTTGCTTGTTTAAAATTATAAAATATTATTCTAAATAAAAAATTAATAAAATTTACAAAATTTATATTTGCAAATATTTCAAAAACAAAAAAAAATATATTTCTAATGTGATATTTATAATTATCATTTATTTGAATTGCCTGCAAAACAAAGAAACTGTCATTTTTCTGACTGCACTCGTTCTGCCAACTTATCAGACTATCAGAATTTTTGTCAAGGGAATTGTTGTTGACAAAAGTATTTATGAAATGTCAGCATCATCTGGGTTCTAAAAGACAGGTTTATTATTGCAAGGGATTGATATGAACCCACGTGCCAACTTATTGAGCTATTCCTACCTTCTTAAGAAGGTAATGTCAATACGATTAAGTAATTCAGCAATATCAATACGATTAAGTAAGAATTATATCCTTACCACCATTTTACTTCACTCATTAATCCACTTAATGCAATTTACTTATTGTTCATTCTTCACATTACTAGAATTTGCTTGACAATTTTTGCAGTCAAATAAATATTTGAAATATTTGAAATAAATATTTCAAATGTCGAAATTAATAATTTCTCTAAAAAAAAGATCAATTTCTATCGATTTCAATATTAAATATTATTTTGAAATAATTCATAAAAAGAATTTTTGAGAAATTTAACTTCGTTAATTTCTATAGAAAGTAAAAGAAAAAAGATTGAAATAAAAAAATTGTTAATGAATTAAATTGAATTTATTAAATTTTATTTTATCGACTTATGACGTAATGTACAGGGCAACCTACTGATGACATATCCACTCTCTATTACAAAGTAACTCGCTGTCAAGAACTCTTGATCGTACGACTGGCTCAGTGGGTTGATGCTCGCATTTCAAAGCCTTTATGGTGGGGTTCTGCTCCTAGTTGAGGTAAAATGTATTCTAAAAGCCTTAGTGCGAGTAACTCACCAACCACACTCGTGTCGTCCGATGTAAATATCTATCCGGTGATTTTAACCAGCATAATGAGCCCCAGAGTATCTGAAATGGTGTTGGAGAAAGCAAAATAAATTTTCGTTCAAATACTAAATTTATTATTGTTTGTATTTTTGGCATATTTTCATTATAATTATTATATAAAATTAATTCATTTCTCTGCTTTGATTCTTCGCTTATTAATTAAAATTGTGAAGCAAGACATTCGTATTTTTCAACTGAATGAAGCTCAATGAGCTAATTCTGCATAATCCTTTTAAAATCTGACAAATAAGCAAAATATTTTTCGAAATAATTTTATATAAAAACAAATTTAAAAGATTGCAAAAGATTTATGAAAACAAAGTGCTGAAAACAATTTAACTAAAAATAAAAATAGTAAAAAAAACCGTTTTTTCGAAGATATTTCCGAAATTATTAGTAAAAAAGAAAAGAATTTTCGCTAAGTTTATTCAACGAATTTTAACAATTGCAATTTTAAAAAATTCAGCAAATTTTTTTAAAATTTTTTCATTTTTCAAACTTTTTTCTTGAAATTTTCTTAAAATTTTCGTAATTTTGAACACATGAAAATTTTTTTTCATAGCAATTAACTAATGAGCGTTGTAATTAATATATACCACAATAAATTTTAGCAAATATTAATTAATTAATTTGATCAATATTTACTAAAATTAATTATTTAATTAAAGTTAACTAAATTAATTAAAGCAAATATTGATTAATTTTAAAATTTTCATAAAACACGATTATTTAAAAAAACTTTAGAAATATTAACAAAAAATGTTGATTTATTATCTATATTACTGCTTAAAAATTCGTATTAAAATGAAATAAAATAAAATAAATAAAATTAATTATCGATTTCCTTATATTTTTTATTATTTGGCGGAAAAATAATTCTAATTTCATTTAATACAAATAAAACAAAAATAACAAATTTTAAAAGTTTTAAATTTTAAAATATTTTTATTACCTAGAATATTTCAAATTTAACCAATTTTTTGCACATAATTTTCTCGCTTTTTAAAATTTTCATTGAATTATTGTTTTTTTAAATAAAGTTATTTATAATTCTACAATGGGAAAAAACTCGGAATGCAGAAATTCTTGCGGACCTTGATTGTAAATAAGCCATTATTTGTAAAGAAAATGCAAGAAAATATTCAAAAAAAGGTTCCCTCACGAACCTGAAGTGGATTATAAATAGGTGATGGAAATGTACATGGAGTGAAAAACGGCATATATTGACTCGTATTGGCAACCTTTATTTTAGTTAAGATTATATATATGTATATTGATATTAACATATTTATTAATAAATATTCAATTTATATACTTTTTATTATTAAATAACACTCCAGTTTTAAATCTGAAAATTTTTTGTAAAAAATTACCATATAACGAAAAAATGAAATAAACAGATTGTCGCACGCCGAAAACATATAAATACGCAAATTGTTAAAAATAAATTGAAGGATTTAATTTCTTTTTCTAGCAGTACGAAACACTTTCCACATCAGTCGCCCATGGGTTATACTCACCCATTATTATGTGGAATAACGAGGGAATCACTTGAGACAAATGATAGATCTTTTTTCAACCGCTGGCTGGATTTGGATTTCGATTTAATCGTTGCGGCCTTATTTAAACTCATTAAAATAATTGGAAATTGAAGAAATGTATTTAAAAAACAACGAGAACTATTTTAGAAAATTAACATTGAAAAATGAATTATTTTCCTTATTAATTTATTAAATGACAATAATGTTCCTATTAATTAGCATTAAATAAAATTCGTTTCCAGATATTAAAATATTATTTAAGAATAAGTCATTCAACTTGAAATATTCTTCAAATTCTTCAAAACGATTCTTCTCCTTTCAAAAAAATCTTTTGAAATTTGATAAGATACTAATAAGAGAATAAGAATATTGATATCGAAAAGAAAGGTTTATCAGTCAGTTTATGATGGAAATCAGCAAGAATTATTGTGGTTTTTATTTCCACTTCATCTATTCTCTCTGAAATATTTTTTACCAATACGCCCAATAATTGTTTATTATCCAAAAAAAACGAAAAACTGAAAAGTTATGGATATTTCAAAAGATTTACGCGCAATAAAAATGTGTATAAACAGAAAAAAATTGAAAAAACTTGGATAATATTTCGATACATAGCAAAAAAAATTACATTAATAAATTTGATTGACTTTCAGAAAATTGAAAAAATTAAATGACAAATAAGTAAGAAAATAATGGAAAGTGGTGAAATTTTGCAAGTTAATGGTGCAATTTAAGGCAATTAAAGGCAGTTAAGGTTTATATGAATATGTATTTGCAAATTTATTGGATCTTTCGAGTATTTTTTGGTAAATTTAACTATCAAATTGCAAAACATTTAAGGAAAAAATCCGTTTAAATTCTAAATCGCTTAGTAAAGATGATTTAAAAGATTTAGTTCACAGAGAAAAAGACAAATGAAAATTAAGAGAAAAGGCAAAAATATGGATCAAAGAGTAATGAGAAAATTTCGATTTTGGATTTACGCGTATTTAGATGGCTTGGAGATTATGAAAGCCTATAAATTTGATTTGTGGAGAAGTTCTTAGAAGTGAAATGTATTTAATGCTGTTTAGCTATTCGAAATGAAAATCTAAGAATTATATTTATTTTTATAAATTATTTATTGATAAAAAACTGAATATTAAATATTGTTTCGAAATAACTTAGCCACTAACAGCATTATTAAATTTATATAAATATTTCTTTGAATTTTCATTTAAAATAGCAGAATGAAAATAATAGCGGAATGAGTTGTTGCTTTTTTTTCGGAGTGACCGACGCTAAAATTCTGCTCCTGGCAAAAGCAGACCTCTCAAAAATCAGGTGCTGATGATCCACCCATATCACCAAGTGAAGCTCTGGCAGAATTTGTCTGCTTCAACATGCTAGCTGTGCAAAGCCAATCAAAAATTATGAGTGCACTTAAAAAGAAAATGACTAGCGATAAGCAATATGAATTCGATTTTTTGCCGCTTAACAGGAATAAGCCTGATATTAGAGATAAAATATATCATGAACTCGCTAAATTCCCACTAAATTTTATAAATCATTCAAGCTTAATAATAATCTCATGGGAGCGAGCTTTTAAATGACGAATGTGATGTCGATTTTTAATGGCACATGAAGAGTAAATATA